CGTCATCGGGTGATGTCACAAGGAGAGCTTCTTAAACCTTCTGGAAGATCTTGAGAAGATCGAAGGGTGTTGATTGGTCTCGATAAACCAGTGAACCTTCTAGAAGATCTTGAGAAGATCGAAGGGTGTTCATTGGTCTAGCTAAATCAGTGGGACTGATATAGTTTGTCTAAGTATAGGAAATGAGTGGCTTAGAGGTAGCGAAGCAAGTTTGCGAACTAAGGACCATAAATATATTCACTTCACAATTTGCCTTCGCCTGCGCACATCAACATCAACAGAGATTGATACATAAATTGACAACATTAAACTCTCTCTTTAGCGTCTGTTGTTGTACGGTGTTTTGCAACTAGTTCAGTTCGATGAACTGGATTACTTATCAAAGAACGAGCTCCAGAGCTTGCTCCCCTATCTTTCAGTTCTTTGTACTGAATTACACATACCAAAGGGCGAGCCCCAGAGCTTGCTCCCCTATCTTATCAGGGGAGGCCCCTCTGACACCGACAGAGAAGGGTGACTTAAGTTCTGTTTAGTAAGTTTGTCGACTGAAAAGTACGGAGCTTTTTCTCCTGTCTTAATACGGCGATGTCATTTTCAATCCCATTCTTAGAGGACTAAACCACATCTGTTGAGAGTAAGTAACGTGACGTCGTATACGCGTGGCCGTCACTCGACTTTTTGACCAGGTCGGCGTAAAGTAGAATCGATTATTACATTGCGATGGATGCTCAAACGACAATGCACAATGGAAGAGCACAAGTTTGTGGCAAGTAAAACTGCTTTGTATTCAAACTATTACATCGAAGACTGTGCAGACAAAAGTTGGTTGGTAGACTAGCACAGTAGCGGTGCGAGTCGGGAATCCAATGACTGCATCAAACAAAACAAAAGCGAACACTCCGAGTGACGCTATGACCTATGGCTGGCCTGCGCGTAACTATTGGCGAAAATGCTTCTTCGGTGAGCAGTGCGCGGTGCAACACTTACGCGCGCTGAAATTGGTTTCGGAATCTTGGTTCATACACTCTCTTGCTGCAGATTCTCTTTTCGCAGGATAAAGATTGCAAGCTGGCGTATTAACACAGTACTGGGCATGGGTAGAGACGATCGAGACGGCCGCGGCGAGGGTGACGAATGCGCAGATCCTGATGTTCATGATTGCGGACGATAGCTGCGTACGATGCTGTGGGGTAGTTCGCCTGGCTTGGCGTATGTCAGAATGAGAGTCAAGGCGAAAAAACGGAGGTCTAGGCCGTTGAGCGCATAAGGAAGGTCAAACGTTAGGAGACGATTCACCTATCCGAACACAGACTTGACCATCCATGTATTCAGTTTCAGCCTGCTGTAAAATTTTACGTTCGAGAGGGTTGCGACCTGCTGACTACGTCATCTGTAGGGCGCTCTCGTCCGGCACTACTCGAGGTTCAAGATCGCCGGAGATCCAGGTATATGATGGATCATCCATGCATCCAAAAAGCAAGACGAAGGATACAATCGCACGACCATACTTCCAGCATTGTGTAAAAATGAGTTTCTAAGTTGTGGACGAGAGGTACTTCAATCAGTCTGCGAGCGTGGGAACGGACGGCCATCTGTCATCTATATTTTCGTGGCTTCATACTGCTCTAGAACATCTAGTTACAACTGCAATGCCAATTTTACAGCTGTTTCGAGTTGCTGCATCAAGTGCGCTTCACCCTTGCCAAGCCTTGATCAGCAAAAGCTTAATCGACATAATTTCGAGTTGCTGCATCAAGTGCGCTTCACCCTTGCCAAGCCTCGATCAGCAAAAGCTTGATCGACACAAATTTCTGTTACCCGTACATGAAACGCTCGGACGGGTCACAGTGAAGCTTTTCTCACTCTGTAAAAATTTGCAGTTCTCACCGCATCCCACCGCTTGTTCAACTTTTACGCAATTGCCACGTATGATCTGGCACATCTGGAACGAGCCGTTGGCACTAACTACCGTGGAAGGGGTAACTTTGAGGGATGTTTTGAGCGTCGTCGTTGACGTCAATAACGAATAGTATCGCAATATAGGGCGCACGCACATTACCTCAGCATCACCACCAAGTCTAATTGTCGGTAGAGCACGAGTTCACAACTCTCTAGAACCTCTTGAAAAGTCTAGCTGGTATCCGTGGAAACCCGAGCACCAGCTAGCAACAAGGGCCTCGTCTGAAAAAACAAGCAGAAGTTTGTGATTTCTCCGCGCATAAAAGTGAGGAATTACTTCATCAGCGTGTGATCGTCTTCGAGAGGGTGCCCTTCACGGTAGCCGTTGTAGACGTCGAATACAGCATCAACGAAGCAATGACGCAACGAGCTGCAAACAGCCGCCACCCGGTATATACCATACGGAAGGGGTCGTTGGTCGTCTTTTATGGCATTCGTGAGTGTAGCGTGTCAGGGGGGTCGGAACAGACGACATTGTTGCGGTGATTCGTATTGTTAGGGATGTGTCAGCATCTGCACCAATCAGGAAGAGAGCCGACAAAGGAAGGGCTGTTTCTTCTTACCAGGCTGTCCATCTGCTAGATGATAAGATAACAACGAACGGGACGGTAGAAGTCGTCTAGCAAATGCAGATCAAAACCGATGTACTTGACTTCGAACAATGTGTGACGTAGTACAAGACATCGGACATCAGAGACAACAAAGTGGGAGTGCGACGAAGTACACGATGCCGCGTATCTCATTCAGGATGTCGTGTTCCTCATTCAAGATGTCGTATTCCTCATTCAAGATGTCGTTTCCTCGTTTGAGATGTCGTTTCCACGATTCTAATGTGGCTCAGTATGATGCTGGACACAGCACCGGGACAGTAGTTGGCTGGGGCGCACCGCTACGGTTGGTACAGTTCCAGCATGTTTACACCTGTTGGTGTATACTGCTCAGTCCAACAGAGGGGGTTGTCACCTTCGAGTTTTTTTTCCTTCCTCAATCTTAAAGTGAGAGAAGCTCAGACTGTCCGTTGTTATAGCTACTTTTCACTATTCACTAAAATGATGTCTGGTTGTGTAGTAACCATCTCGTATCACCGACCGTGACACAGTCTTACGACTCCTAGCTTTCCCATGTCTGGTTGTGTGGTAACCACCTCGTGTCACCGACCGTGACACAGTCTTACGACTCCTAGCTTTCTTATGTCTGGTTGTGTGGTAACCATCTCGAGTCACCGGCCATGACACAGTCTTACTACTCCTAGCTTTCTCATTCTGCTGGCTCAAGTCGTCGGGCGTCGCGGCGGGGCACTTCCAAAAATGCCCGTGGAAACCGTCCGTTGACCAAGTCCAGGGTTGGATTCTCGTGTGCACTCTACCGGATGGCGGGGCTGCTCTCGCGCTCGGTGCAATGTGATTCAGGGGACAGAGGAAGCTTGACTAGGACTCCTGTTGCTACTGCGGTAGTTTCAGTGAGGCATCTTGACGTAATTTCTGGTCATCACCTCGTAGTCGACTTCTTGCTCTTCAGGTCGGCTCGGGCTCACAACGTGCTCAAATGTGCCCAGACGCACCACTAGACGACGAGTATCTGGCTCGGTGCTACTGTACATAAAGAACCGGTACTGGATCTCAACGTGAGTCATCGCGGTCTTGGGGGAGCTCTCTTCGTGGAAACGGGCTCGTGCTCAGCGAACGTGTCGGCGAGTTGTAGGCAGACCGTGGAGGGTAGGAACTTCTTCGTCTTGCAGGGCGATTCGATTCATTGTAGACGTGCCCTGCACCAGGACCACTCCTGCGGGACATCGACACTCACCTGCGCATTGTGGCAAAATGTTCTTGACGATCAACTTTATTTGCGTCGTTGTTGAACCATTTTGAGGAACTTCAACGAGTGTAATTCGGACGCGCTGCAAGTGCATTGTAGGACTAAGAGGAGGAAGCGCACCAAATACAGTCAACTGTAAGTTTAATGACAGCAAATACAACCAAAGACAATCAACTCGTTTCAATCCGATGTTTACTACGTTTCTAGTACCAGTGCTCATGGTCAACTTCGAGGACATCTTGTTGATAACTTCAGATACCCTTTCTCACCTGCTACAGTAGCTGTTGTGTGTAGGAGAGCGAACAATACTCTTGAACGTCAGAATGTATACACGTAACATTCTTCCAATGAAAGTGTCTCCGAGTACACCGAGCGCATTCATGATAGCCAGGTCAAAAATCAGTTTGGTGAAAGGGAACGTCTATGAAATAACAAGCAGTTTAAGAACAATGCCTACGAGACTTCGTTTCGGTGGAAGCGTGTGTGTCTCCAGCATGTTTTGGTGTGGTCGCTTTACAACTGCGCCGCCGACACCAGCAATTGCAGCTGATATACCGTCATCGTTACAGCCACCTGTAGAATCTGTGCCCGACTTAACAGCGAATACAGACGTCATTGTGGCTGTACAGAAACAACTATTGAAGGTGGGGGCATTCCCAGGACTATGACGAAGCTTCGGGATACAGCACAAGACAGCGCACAGTTGGCAGTAGTGTCGCAATAGAAGTCAGCATAAGTTGAGCTGTGGCAACGAGCTCACGAAGTACCAGGCGTGGGATTTGGATCGGAAAGAGTGAGTGAGTGAGCTTCATTGAGGTACTTATAAGATCTCTAATGGCTAAGATGGGGGTTTACACCGCCAAGCTATGAAAAAAAAAACAGGGGCTATACAGCTACCTTCTGACCGTAGGAAGCAACCGCCGAAAGAGCAGAAATACTTGGACCCGGGGTATGTGTTGGAGGAAATGCCTGCCACTCGTGCACGTCAGTGCGGAGAAACCGTTGCACTCTTGCAATCAGTGGTCGATTGTCAGTAGCGCACGTTTGCTGTAACGTTTTGGAGTCCATCGCAATATTCGCAGCCAAGTCTGCCATTTTGTTGTTCGCGCGGTAGTGATGAGACCACCCGCAGATTCCTAGGCTATCCGCACATCTTCTCGCCTTGAGATAAAGTTGTCGGAGTCGGGGTTGACGCGGAGGCCGATGCCGCCGCATTTGCTGGATAATTAAAGAGCTGTCACCGACCACGTACAATGGTGTGAGATGTCTAGTTTCAGCGTGACGGAGGCCATGAATAAGCCCCCGATATTCCGCCATGTTGTTGGTTGTGCTGTTATGCGCATATGACATGCTCGCCGCCCAGGTAATCTCTGATGCTCGCGTGTCCAGATCAACACAGACCATGACCGAACCGGATCCGCCTGGACCGGGATTACCACGCGAGCCGCCATAAAAAAAAGCACATAGGCGCTCCGGTCTCGAATCGGTGGTGAGAGAATCGTCCCGTCAATCGTCCCCTTGAGACGATCAGCCAGCGCCCTGGTAGCGGCATTCTTCGGAAGTTTTAAAATATCCGTGTCGAATTTATAACTCAATGAAACCAAATCGCGCAAGGCATTGTCTACTGTAACGCAAATTACCGCCCGCAATGTCGATTGAAGCGCATCTGGCTCGTGGCGGAGACGAAGTCGCGCACACCAGATGGCTTGTATTGTCGCCGCCACCGTCCGCCTCCACAAATTCCTGGAAACCTCGTACAAAACATCACGATGCTCGGTACCTGCAGCACGAACATGATCACATACCGTTCGCCACGCACGTGTCGGCGTATCGTCTAGGCCCAAACTGAAGCACGATTCAATAAGGTTAGCAGGCACGTTGTCGCCGAGACGCCTCCATCGAATGTCAAAGTCTTTCCATGCTGCCTTCGCAATAGGGCACTCCCAGAAGACGTGTTGAAGGCTAATAGGTACGTCTCGGGGACACTCGCCATGTGGACAAGAACGGTCACTGTGCACATAGTTCCATAATTTCAGCTTGTTGGCCTTCAATCGAAAAAGTGTCTGGACCGTAGAAGCCTCAGCTCCCTTCACTGCCCGAATGTCACGCCAATCCAGCTGGGATAGTGCATCATGCAGGTCCTTATTATTTGTAGCTAGAACAGCGATTGCCCGATCTCTCTCCACAGTCCCCTGTGCCACACGCTGCCCGGACACAGCCTCCTTGTACCGCGCCCGATCAAAACGCCAATTAGCCCTAGTGTGAAGCTGCACAAGTCGCGACAATGCAGGATGATCGTGAAAGCGGAAGTCCCGCTTATTGATGTCTGCACGGGCTCGGAGTTCACAGTCGTACCGCGACTGGACTGGGACTGATGTATACATGATCGTGTTATTCGAGAAGACAATGATCTTTGCATTTTCAGAAAGGCGTCACGAAAGATTCGACGACGAGCTAGCATCAATCGGTCTCAAAACCGATGGTGAGCGCGGTTGAAGGAAAAGCGTGGGATAATTGCACACAATCGCCTTGCACAGGACCGAGACCGCACGCCGAATTGCCGGTGACCGTGAACGCTGAAGCTCGAACTTTATGGTTCCATCCCCGTGCCATATCCAAGTCAGGAGATCACGAAGCGTTTGCCACTGTTCTCCACGCCGCAGGAGAGGTATATTGACGTCCTCTCCCCGTCCAGTGATCAACCATTGCCTCGTATCGAGTCCCACCCGACCTAGCCACTCGTGGCAGAAAGTTCCACGTATGCACTGCTCGCCGACCGCTTTACTTGCAATGGCTTGTACCGTGGCAGTATCGATACGAAATGTTAACGTATCGCCCTCCCAGTAGGCAGCTGAAATATGCCGACGCAAGAGAGACTCAGTTGCTGCAACACATCCAGCCTTAGACAAATCAATAGGGACGCTATGCACACCACGAACCACAGCTGCTCCGCTGGCCCACATGGTGTCGGAGACAGTAAAACACTTAGGGGTTGTGCATGGCTTGTCCGGAGTAAGGTACACATCAACTCCAGCTCTCCTTGCCAGCAATATGTCACCCGCGACTCGAGCTGGCCCATTCGAAAAAGATGCCCATTTACCGACCGCATTGGCCGCCATAGCAAGCAGCTCCGTTGCTACATGTGGGATAGCAATCCCCCCATCACACACACGTAAACCGGCCTGTGCTTCACTCATCCACGCTCGAGATGGCACACCTTGTCGCGATCCCCAAACAAAACGCTTAACCAAAAGCTGTAACGAGTCGATAACCTCACGGGTAGGCCACGAGTGTCTCGCGAGAAACGTGACCCTGGGAATGATTAAAGCCGAGGCTAATAGAGCTCGGCTCCTGACCGTGTTTGTCTTTCGTCTGGCTAGCACAAGCCGAGCATTGAGTGAGACTAGGCATGCACTCCAGTTGTCCCGAACCGTCCGTCCATCCCCAATTAAAACGCCAAGATACCTGCACCTCTCGCCCGCCTGTAACAGCTTAGCATCATGCAAAAGTGTGGGGTCAATGCTCACACCGGCACACAGAGGAACCGCCACAGACTTCGAAGCATTAATGACCAGCCCAGAAGCCGCCCCAAATCGCATTAGAGTCCGCATGACCACAGACACTTCCTCCGGGGACTGAACGTACACAGCAGTATCATCCGCGTACCCGCATACCTTGATCTCCAGTGTCTCCGACGTGTTTGCGATCCGAACACCCTTCACCGTGCTATGTAGTATCTCGTAAAGAGGTTCCACCGCAATGATAAAAAGCAAGGGTGCCAGCGGGCAACCCTGGCGTATACCACACCCGACATCAAGAGGATCGGACATGTAGCCGTTTACGATGAATTGGCTTCTTGTACCCGTGTGAAGAGCCGAGGTGAGATGAACAAACGATGCCGGGAAGCCGAGTCGGCTCATCACGGCGAGAAGAAAATTGCGTGAAAGCGAATCATACGCCTTTGAGAAATCCAACAGCAACATGAGCGAGCGGTGCAATTCGGGATCATTACATGCACACAATTTAGCAGCAGCGAAGATATCAAGTACCGTCGCCATCTCTCTTCGAGGTACAAAACCAGTTTGGAGAGGATTTACTAGAGTTGGTAGCAGCGGTCTGAGGCGGGACGCGTAAATCCGTGTGAAGACTTTGTAGTCCGAGTTTAACAGAGATATCGGTCGATAGTCAAGTGGTGATGCCGCACTCCTCGACTTCTTTATGCACGCCACTACAGCTTGACCGAACGTGCCCGGCAAGATGCCGCCAAGTGCGCACACGTTAAATACCCTTGTCAGTAGAGGTACAAGGTAGGCCTCATTGTCGCGGTACCAGTCGTTATTAAGCGAATCCGGTCCCCACGCCTTACCCCGTTTGCAGCGACGAATAGATGTTAGCACCTCAGCTGCTGTTAATTCGTCGCTGAGAACCGAAAGGTCGGGACCATGGTCCCGCGGAGGAAGCGAGTCGAGGAAATCAGTGACGATCGCTTCATCGGGAGGCGTTTGTTGCATGATGGCGCGCCAGCCCTCACGCATATCCTGTGCAAGATCACGTGCCCGATGATGGCCGAGGCCAGTAGGACCCCGTAGGCTGTACACCGTATTATCGACAAACTGGGTCGACACTCTGCGGTAGAATTTTTTTTGTGACCGTGCCGGATGGTGTGCATGGGACCGAAAAAGCGATCGACGTTTCATCTTCTGCCACTTGGCCTTGCAATTTACTACCGCACGTCGGGCTTGGATGACCGATTGAGACGGATCAGCACCCGGACCAGGGGTTTCTCGGATCGCGGTCGCCAGACGGGCGGTAAGCCGCTTTAGGCGCTGTCGGTAGCCGGTCGTAGATTTTCGGCGAGCATCCTTGGCCGCATCGGAGTATCTCTGTCGCAGTCCAGCTTTTTCAGCATCCCACCATATGGCCGTTGCCCGGGTTTGTTCCGTAACGGTGTCTGCTGTTGCGATGACGCCTTCAAGGGTCCCCGATGCACGTTGGAAAAAGTCCGTCGTCACCAACTCGTACTCTCGCACAGCGTACCTAGGCGGCGGGTACAACTGCCTTCGCGACTTCACCTGCACAGTCCGTCCAGGAACTGCCACACGTATTTAAACACCGTTGTGATCGGAGAAAGGACCAGGAATAGACGTGCCGATTACGCGTACCCATTCTCCGTCGACGGCCGAGCAGTACCACCGGTCAAGTCGACAGCTTGCCTCACGCCCACCCGGCATCGTATAGAAATACGTGTGATGTTTGACTCGCCAATCAATGTCCGAATCGTGGTCGTCGATGTCGTCATCCAAAACATCAGTTAAGCCGCCGCAATCCAGAAGGCGGCGCAGTGCCGGAGGGTCATGGCTGTTCCAGCGAGAAGTGTAAGACCGATCGCGAGAATCTAAAAGCGTGCAATTGAAATTGCCGCAAAGAAACACCGGACTATCGACACTGGATACCACGTGTTCGAGCGATTGAAACAGCTTCTCCCGCTCGGACCTCAGCACGGGCGCGTACACATTAATAATCGTAAACTCTCGATCATCCAGAATTGCAGTCGCAGCCATCCAGTGAGCGGTCCAGTGCTCCATCTGGAATGCCTGCAGTTAAGATATCCGCCTGTACGGGCGTAAAAGAATAGCGAGACCGCCGGACCGTTCCACGCTCGGACTCCATAGCGAGAACTGATTTTCACCATCAGCGACAAAGCCCCAAGATAGAAGATGCAGCTCCGTCGCCGCTGCCGTACCATTCACAGGCACCCTAGTCTCCTGAAGGCACGTGATGTCCAGCATGCCATCTTGCACAGTTTAACGAAAATGCGCAACCCAGCGACTTTGCCGTTCGTTTTTGGCTCCCAGACCCATAACATTTTGTGTAAGAAGACCACATGACAGATCATGGGCTGACCCGCGTCTGCGTGGCACGCGTTTTTTTCGATCAAGCTGGGAGCACGCTCGTCCTGACACCGAGAAGCCCTTAGGAACGACGCACGGCTGTGCCGCGCCCAATTTCACAGATGCCAAGCACATCGACCAGCGATCCAGACTGAATCACGGTGTCAGCGACCTTCCTGATCTCGTTATCGTGCTCGTACACCCGTGCACACGTGTCGGGGAGCACCAGGCCACAGTCTGGCTGCTTTGGAAATCTACTTGGACAGAGAATACTCAGCAGGGAAAGAATAGAGCTGAGTGGGTCTTCCAGGGCAGGTGCTGTGACACCCGTAATTAAATCGCTGTCGAAACACTCCACTTCTCTCCACCACTCCTCTGAATTTGTTAATTTCCAGCGGCAAGCAATTTTTCCCAGAGAGCGAATTGCGATAGCACGCCGCTGACACATAGAGCGGAGACGAACTTCTAAGTTCTGGTCCATCGAATGATGGTCGATCAGCGCAAGCTGAGAATTGCAGCAAATGGATTGACCAAATTTAAACAGCTCTGATCGTCCCCATGTGTAAGCTCCATGAGTGGGTACGGTAGCGAAGTGATCAGTGATACCAACTGAGAGAAATATTGTTCAATCCAGATCGAAAATTTTTCACCATTCGCTGGTAGTACTGGTGTCGATGATGTCCGTCGCCTCCACGTCGCAATAGCTATGCCGTTCTGTCTTTTTTGGCGATTGCGCTCTGAAACCTCCTCACTCGTCAGCCGCACGCAGGGTGATGTCGGCTGCAGTAACTTAGCAACTTCAACGACCACACCGGATGCAACTGGTTGTGGGCAGCCCAACCTCGATGCGGGCATCACCCGTGCTTTGTGCCTACGAGAGGACGCAAGCGTAGCGGCATGATCATCCGCCTCGCGTTGAGCCGCAGCGACCGCGTTCCACGCTTCCACGGCATCCGGTGAAGGTGATTCATTACGTGGAATGGCCGGCAGCGGACCAGCCATGACACGATCCTGACTGTCTATGGGTAAAATTGAATTAGTGTCCTGCGCTGCAAGCACTGCTTCCAAACCAGGAGGGAGAGGGGAGGCCATGTGAGAATTGATCGCAGTCGTGTCGGGGCCATCTGTGCAACAATGTGTCCTGTAGACATTCGAAGAGGCGGTAGAGGGAGGCACCGATGCCTCAAGCTCATCGATATCCATAGTGGCGGCAAGCGACGACGGTGATGGACCACCAGAAGAATGGTCCACCTCCGTCCGATCTTGCCCATCAACCGCTGTCGAAGGTGGTACCTCGAATACCGTCGACACAGCGTGCTCGCCAACCACAAAAAGAGCGGGTAAATCAGCAGTGGCCATGTCGCGTGCATCGCTATCATTTTCATTGACAACCGTGGACGTCGCTTCTTCAGAAGATGCTCCAGGAGCAGCTGGTACTGCAGCAGGGGCCACTTCACAACTTTTTAGAGTTCTGTGCTGACCCGATACCGGTTGAGGCACCGACGTCGGCAGCGAGTCAGCTGCCACCCCACGACTCGCAGACCTTGCGACGGGACACGAGCCTTCAAACTGTTGAACCGCTGCCGCACGAGCAGCCGCAGCCATAGCAGCAGCCTTCGTAACCGTCGCGAAATGATTCGTAGCCGCTTTCAGCTTTGAACGACGAATAGCAAGTAGTTCAGCTGTCACCGCAGCCTTAGCCTCCACTCGCGCTGCCACTTCTCTCTTGTGAATGACTGTTTTTTGCCGCTTAGGTGCCCCCTCCACCATGGAAGCTCGGCGAAGTTTGTCGCCAAGCCCAGGCGCCACCTTTTGACGTAGAATTTCAGTTGCCTTGATCCATCCATCCGCGTGAGGAGTCCATGACGTATGGGATGTTACCGAGGCCGTTGCAGATAGAGTATAGCTTGCACATGTACTCTCGGGATCCACAGCCGCACAGTCCTTACGGAAATGTCGAACGCTGAGACACCGCTGGCACGGCTCGCGGGTACTCTTCCGCGGGTGCATGAGTACCACCTCGATACTCTTATCGCAGGTCGTCACTAAAATCCTGTGCTTCCGGTCCGGTTCTTTAGGGCATTCCATGGAAAAAAAAAGGACCCACCCAGGGAGGCGGGCCGAAGAAAATGGGCCCCCCCGCCCCCAGGCGACCGACAGGGAGGGCGGGGGCGGGGGCGGCGGGGGCGAGGGACGCACGGGGCTCGGTCGGGCTCGGCGCAGCCCTCCCCCAGCCCACCCCCATCGAGAGAAGGATTGAAGTCGTAATGTCCGTATAGCCAATCTTGTCGTCCACCGTAGCTGGGTCATCAGCTACGAGAAGTTGGAGCCGACAATTACCCACCCGAAGGTCCGCCTTCGCCCATGAATCTAGCGTAGGGCGATCGTTGAAGACGAAAGCCACAATAGGTGACAGGCTCGAACACTCAACGCGCGAAAGCTCCATGATGAGCGAGTTGACACGAGTCTTTGCCGCTGGAGTCACAGCAGCTGCAAGCATCAGGCTAAATAATTTACCCCGCGCGCCTAGATCAGGAAGGAAAAGGCCGACCGGAAGGCGAGCATAAAGCTTGTGTACAAGGCGAGAGCGCTGGTGGACAGCAAAAGCCTCTCGCTCGGCCGCCACATGAGTCTCCCTGAGGAATAGAGGCGCTCCAGCAAGCTGTAGATGGCCTCCAAGCCAAGCCTCAAGAGTTTCCACCTCAATAGGCGTCATCCTGCGCTGAAATCCGTCCTTTCGAAGACGGCACCGCTTTCGCGCGCACTCGTAAAGACGAAGGTTAGCATCGTTAACATACGGCGAGGGTTGAGAGCCCGCAGCTTTTCTCAACTCATCGACTGTGTTACCCGTCCAAGCGGACGGGCTTGGCATCATTGGCCGCGCATCTTGAAAAATACGTGGCGGCGATCTTGGGGCAGTTGGGGTATCATCATCCTCGTTGTCCGGCGTGATACCGGTACCACCGTCCCCTACCTGCTGCAAGGGAGGCTCGCTCTGTAGAGATGACATGGACACATCGCCTACACCAGGATCCATCCCTACATCCCTCACCGAATCAAGAATGGTGCCGTCCGAGGCTTGAACAGAGTCCATCCGCTCGCCGTCGGGATGTGGGTCACTAGGAGGAACCACGGTCGCCGCATCAGCAGCAGCCCCATTCGGTGGACCTTCCGCTCCACGTCCGACTTGCTCGCCACTAAATGCACCAGTTAAGGGCCTGGGCGGGCGGCGACTACGCGCTCCGCGGTCGCGGCCGTCCTCCATAAAGGATACGTCGACTTGATTGGTGGAAAAAGCGATCTTTTTTTTGTCGCCACCGAATCACGTTCTCGAGTTAACTGTGCGTTAGACAGCAAATTCGAAAGTTTGGTTCGGAAAGAAGTGTGACAGCTACTTCTTTATTTCAATGCAAGAAAAAGTGATTTTGGGTGGAGAAAGCTATCGTGCTTTCGTAGTGTGAAGAAGGCCATGCAACATATCTTTTAAATATGCCCATGCGCGCAAACCTGTTGACAGAAGCTCACATGTCATCGCACGGAAGATCACCGGTAGCTGGAAGGCTGGATGTACGGCTCGCACGTAGTGCACGCAGACAGGCACCGAAGCTATCCAAACGTCATCATGGAACTCCAACTCCGAGGCTACTCTGACGAGGTGAAAGAGGAGGTGTATGTATGGAAGCAACTGGGGCGTATCCTGAGCATTGTTTCTATCCCTAGGTTGTGACCACGACGCGGTGGGGTATCGATCCTACACGACGACGTCTCCGTCGAAAGCAGCAACAGGCACGCAGCAACTTCAAGGGTGTAACAAAGTAGGAGTACCGGCGGATGACACAAAATAAAAGGAGCACGTCTACTGTAAGGACAGGGGCAGTTGTTGCATCAGGGAGCTACAAACGCGAAATGATATTCCAGAATACATGTACCCTAGCCTTCGCATTGTGTGATGCAACTAGCAGCTGTTCTTCGCCCACCCCTTCGGAGGCTACATGAAGCACAATCAGGCCTCCGTAACAAACCACGTCCCATCGCCCATTGCCACGTCATCCATCATCTCGGACGTGTCTTGCGTACTTTCGCATTGGCGAGTTCAACTATTTACATGAGAACATTGCAGCAAGATAAATATGGTCGAAGAAGTGATGTTCGATGATATTTGAATGCGACAATAGTGACGTCCAAGAAAGTTTAAGGGATTGGCTGCTGCATGTTGTGGGAGCTCATTCAAACGCACAAGCACCAGAAGCCTCATGATGACGAGTCATTTGCACAATCGAGCACAAAAAGCTTACGTGCTAACTGAATATCCTGCCTTAGAAAGAACGGAGCGCAGAGCTTGTCAAGCACTCAAAGTGACAAGTTTATCAGGACAGCAACTTGTGTGCTGTTTGAACCTGCACTGGTGGAAGTTAGCACACTATGGCAGAGTACGTTTACGGACGGTGATCATTTGAGCACTGTGGTGAGTTCAGACAGGAGTGTCATTAATGTGTTAACATCTATGGGTGAGTCTAAGCTCAAGTCGATACCGATCCATTTACACCTTTCGAGTGCTTCGCTGGGTTCATACTCGTGTACGAACACACATGATGGCTATCAAGACGTGAATTATTCCTCTTCTGTCCAGCGATACATATCCGTCCAGCATGGATCAATCTCGAAAGACCGCGAGAAAGGAGTATCGTAAATCCATGACGGCTTTGCGAGCCTACAAAATTGAGGCTGTAGATCAGAGGTGAGCGGACCTTTGTTTCGTCATATCGAGTATGACACATTCGGGATGTCATACGAAGCAAGTACTGCGAGTTCTACGTGCAACTCCAACAAGCTGGCTCGAAGACCTAATGAGATAGTGCTGAATCCGACACAGTGAAAGCAGAGATTCTGCGGAGATGATCTCGGAATCGCGTGGTATGTCGAAACCACGGGGCGAACATACATGTGCAAAGCAACATTCAGCGTTCGCGGTGGTCTGTTGGCGTCAGATCAATTTGCTTGGCGTGTTAGCCCTCAGCTAGCCATTAGAGATCTGTTAAGGTTCAACGAAGCTCACTGACTCAATTCGTGGGTTTTCAATCGCTCTTATTCACCAGGAATACTGTTCACGAGCATCAACTAACGCGCTCAAGTACTTGGTCGGAACGCAGAAAACGAACTAAGTCGACTAAGCGTCATCTAAAACTGTTTTACTCGCACTACCTGATGCCGTTCATCCGCGTTCTTGAGACCTCCACTTAGTTTTTCGAGCTCTCATCAGGCCTGACGTCAGATACATCAAACCGATTCCATTCGTAATCGCCTTGCATAAGCAATGCTACTCTATCACATTCGCATAGAATACGGATCATCTACGACACGATTATCGATGATTTGGGCTAACGCTGAAAACCCGACTACGGCCTGAATGTAGCAATATTGACTGTGAAGTTGTTGTTGAGCTGTCCCAACGACTTACGTTTTGTCTGTGCGTATGAAGCGTTGTCCACTGCCGTCATCAAAGGAGTGGGTGTATTCTTGCCACGTCGTATTCTTTGTGACGGTGCTGTAGCGATCACGAAGTTGTTTGCGCGGAGAACAAAAGCGGTGACTGCAGAAATGGGACAGAAACGGCAGTCTAGATCGTAGAGACGTAACACAATGACAGATAGAACGAAGAAGAGGAGTACGGCCAAGATACTTGTACACCTGCGATGCCTGCAGAGTATCTATTTGCAGGGCCGAAAGTTCTCGGTGGTGAGCTTAGGCTTGACGGGTGCGCTGTAAACTTAGATGAGAGCACATGCCGAACATCTCAACGCTTGACGTGCGCATGTCCGTGTTTCGTGCGTCGATTAAAATTCTGTGTACAGCGTTAGCAGAAGTTGTGTGAAGTCGAACGGTTGTCATTTTGCTTACGTTTGAAGTTGTGTTGGTGATAGTGGCATGCGATATGCGAAGGACGAAGGTCAATTTCAGTAAGAAGAAGATCTATTTGACGAGTTCACGCGATAATGAGGCGTGTTGTATGTGCGGTAACAACGGCATGTTGAACGGCACGAATCCTCTTTACGTAATGCTAATTTCATCCGTGTTCTTCTATGGACCGATCACGCAACAATTTAGCGAGACGCAGTAGCTGCTGTTGGCGTAGGTGCCATGATCTTTCATCTGCGGCACGCGACTGCTTGTCTAATCAATGTTGAGTTGATTCTAGCTACACTAAAGCCGAATCGAGAAATCAGAACGCGGATCGATTGTACACGTGCTTCGGCAACCATGCGACAGTACCCTTATCTTCGTTTTATGTGCTCTTACTGTAGATAACAATACACACAGTAGGAAACGATAGTTGGTAATATGCCAGGTTATAACAATGATGCATAAGCACCGAGACGGGGTCGATTTACAAACCATATAATCCGCTGCCGTTGAAAAACCACAGCCGTGAGAAGGAGTTCTCATCGACATTGTCACTTCGTCTATGCTGTTCCGATGGCATTCGCCTCCAGGCATTCAATGTGGGACGTTGTGCTACTCGTCTGGATGCTAATGCCATTAACCGTGTGGGCGAAGCTGGCATTTCGACTCACTCGATGATACCTGCAACAAGATGCGATACTCTGTAGTCTGCAACAATGAAGGTGCTGCGCGCGTATGCAGAGGAACTCGTGGACAAAGTAATTTCGAACAAGTTGTGCGTAAGTCGATGCGGTAAATATGCCGCGTACCGCACGCTACGCACTGTTGGCACCATATACGCCACCAGCCGCGCAAATTCACTAGACTTCTGGTCGTCGACATCTCAAACAGCGTCTCTTCTGCCTTCTGTTCCCCGTCTACTTCGAATCTAGATCCTTTTCCATCGTTTTGGAGTCGTTATCATGTGTCGATTTTGTAAGAAACTCGTTTTGTGCTGTATGTATGCAATCAAAAGCATCGAAGCCTAAATTGTAAAGGAGGTCGAGTGTAACGGGGCACCCTGAAGCTTGTACTGGTGACAGTACAAGCTACTTATTCTGATAACAGAATAAGGCGGTGCCTCGTAACTTCACGTACACTGGTACGTGCAGAGGAAGACGGTAAGAAGAAGCGAGTACTTGGTTAGAGTAAAAAGTAGAACTGTATTTATAATAGTTAATGTCTGCAATCAATCACTATTTATCTTCATCTAACTATGTCTAGCTACAAATGTGTAAATCAGTTATCTGCTCACCACTCATTGCGTGCGTCTGTCGTGGCGCGTCTTCGTTGGTTGATATAATGGCCTATATCAACCAATCAGGAACTACTCGTAAGTGCTACAGAATATTTGTCCTTATGACAATATTCTGAGAATATAACTCTTATAGTTATATTCTATTAACAATTTCTTATAAATTGTTATGCAACGATTCACCCCGTTACATCACCCCCCCCTTAACCATCAGTCACTTTGGTGACTGATTGACTAAATGGATACTCGTCCCAAATCATTTGGGACAGGGTTTGCACTTGTTGGTCCGCATCCACTTTCCAACATTTCATCGCATGGTAAACAAGCCCATGCGATGCGCGAGCAAGGCCGCCGAGAGCGCGTCTGCACGTCTCTGTGCGGACGCCGAAGCAGAAACAACAGCAACTGATGTCTCATCGGTTGCTGAAGCGACCCAGCCTGTGTCACTTGGTGATGCAGGCGCTGGTCATGAAGACACTCATGTCTTCACAGAGTATGAGCTCGGTGTCTCATACTCTCCTGATACGGAAGACGGATCCGTATCGACGGCGATTGGGTCTAATCCGCCTGCCAAGCGTGGCATGGATGATGCTATGCGTCGTAGCATCTTTGGTTCATCTGATGAATCAGATGAACCATCGCCGAAGCGAAGGCGCTCGAGGTCGCGAGACTCGGGCGCTAATAGTGGTGTCGGTTCTCCTATGGACACCACTTCACAGCGAGGTGCCAGTACTTCTGTCGGCACGTCGCAGGAAGAGCGGGACCGCAATGTCTTGCGTCTCGCTCCAGAAAAGAAGGCATGGATGCCTCCAAAATCCGTCATGGATCACTTGTCGGCGACGACGAGTGATCGTTATCGAACACGATTGTTCGATTCGTCAAGGATCCATCACCTTGACCCCAGCGCGAAAAACTATCGCGCTGAGAATTATTTCTTCATCTATGCTTTCTTTAGACATCGATGGTACAGTGGTAATCACAAACGTGATGGTCCCTCACTACTTCAGGCGTGGAACGCCTACATCCATAACCTCGAGGATGTAGGTCGTGACGCTTGGAACGACAAACTT